CTTGATAGCAATGGAAAAGTGAATGCTTGAACTAGCTGCAGCCGCCTGCTCTCTGAGGGAATCAAGTCGTTCCAGCACAGACGGGCCATCCAAGTCACCTTCCGGTTCGCCAGGCAGGACCTGTCGCCTCCCACTAACAATACTCTGATCGCGAGCCCTCGATGCCCTGCAGCTGTCCCATAGGCGTACGAGAGTCTCTGGGCTACCGGTTTTCTCCAACTTGGCGATGATCGATGGGATGCGTCCAGCTCTGCTATCCTTCCTACGCTTCATGGGAGTAGCAGCGCCATCAGCCTCTACGAATTTGCACGTTGGCGACGCGCCTCCAAGAGCTTGTGGATTGGCTTGGACGAAAGCAGTTGGCGAGCGGCTAGGCGCATGTCCGTCTGATCCAGAGCCCGCCTCACCATCGCATGCACAGGGAGATATGGTCGAGGCGGCTTGTGACGGTCCAAGGGTGGCCTGGACACTAGACATGACCCGGGGCTGGAACATATATCTCGAAATCACGGCTGTAAACTTATCTCGGAACGAAATGTTTGGTCGAGGAAGGGACTGACCGCATCAAAATCGCAATCGAGACGATGGCAGAAGCTGTGCAACTTTCTCGCTGTCAGTATGTATGCTCAGCGGTCGCTTCGAAACAAAGACGTTACCTCCTGCGCCAAGTCCACAGGAGCAGGCATCTTGGAAGAAGTGAAATGGCCTTCTCAATGGCAGGTACAGTGGCACGAAGCGACTTTAAATACTTGACCTACTAATATGAAGTCATCAACTGTAATGACTAGCCATTACAGTATTGCGCATGCATCGCTCCCTCTTTTGCAAACATTTCAACGTTTGAGAAGTCTAACACTGTTGTGATGGGCCTCAGCAAACCTTTGCCAATGGCTGTGGCAGCTTGTTTGCAAACAAAATGTGGGGTCGGGATGGTGTCTAGCAGTACGAGTTGCGGCGCTTCATTGAAATCTACTCGACACCTTGTTTGGCTTCAACAACGGCCATTACCCACTGCCAAGCGTGGTGAACTGTACAAATCAACTCCAATCCAGCTTGTGTGAGATCAAATTCAGAAAGATAACGCGTGTTGCGAAGAGGAAGCAACATATGTTCGTGACTATCGATACAATCCCTTGCTGGTGTTTGGCCTTCGCCATGTACCAAAGTAGCCATGGACTGAAGCAGGCTCAGCAAACACCACGATGCGTAGGCAACGTACGGTTGAAGAACGTGATCGAAGCGAATGGAAGTCTATGTTCCAGAGCAGGCGCCTGCCGTGTAATTCGCGCATCGCGACCAGCCTTTCGTTATTCCAGCCACAGCGACGTGAGGAGAGGTAACACGTCTTGCGGTAGGCCTGCCTCATCACGAACCAAGATTGCGCACCGCTTAAGTGGCTGATGCGGACCTGCAATTGGCTACAGTGGCTCATGGATGGAGCTCAAAGGTGCGTTGAATATTTGGCGCAAATGTTCCCAAGAGTCTGGTTTCCTCGCTGGCCATCGTGTACCCAAGCATCCAGGTTCCTGGCTCGGAACCGTGATCAAAGTTCAAGTCAGTGGATCGCAATCCCCTCTGCGGGCTTCATTGCACATCTAAGATCCAGGATTCTAGGCTACATGGTCAGCGGGGACTCCGCTCCCGGGTGACAAACAAACAAGGCCAGGCCACTGAAAGCCGAACAACTGAGGATCAAGCGCGACACCCACTTCGCTCTTTGTATTGTCTACACTATCCATTCTTTAAGTTGCCTGTTCAAAATTTCGTTCCCGCTATTGCACATGGTTGCCAAGGCAGTAAATCGCAGTGAGCGCTCGGATGTGGCGTTGCTGATGAGTGCAACGCGTTGAAGCGCCCTTCCGGCGTCGGCGTTAACGTGGCCCTCTCGTACCTAGATCCGGTGTATGTACCTTCAGGAGCCATCTCGGTCGGTGCCGCTTAGAACATCATCCATGTCCCTGCGTACTGTCATGCGCCTTTTTATTTGGTTGCCTGTATAAATGTTCGTTGAAAACCTGTTGTGTAACTTTGAAAACACAAGTATGGACTCCTCTGTTCAGCACGGAAAAATGTACCTGCGTTTTGAATCATGGCCAGTGACTCACAAGGCAGGTTACACTATCACACTGCATAATGGCCAGGCAGTCACCCGAGGTCAGCGTGCGGTCGCGAACCAAGGTCTCCTTAGAGCGTTACACCTGACTGCAGCGCAGACGCTGCCCCGGTATTGCTAAAGATCGCTTCTTTAGGATTATGACCGGAAAAGAGAGGGATGGGATGGGTGCAACGCAATAATGCTGCATCGTGGCCTTCGCAAATCACACACAAACGTCCGTAGTGTTACTGCTCAGGCCTTGAGCGAAAACCCTTGGTCCCAACCAGTCGCATTCAAAGGTGCTCAGTGGAACTGTGCGAAGCGCTGCCCAACTCTAAAATGTCTTCTGTTCGGGCGAGGAGAAGACAGCCAATAAAAGCCTGACATTCACCCCACAACTCCCTTGATGGGTACTTAACAGCCCACCTCCTCCCAACATGAGCGCCTGTCAAGGCATATTCTGACAAAGCCATGCCATAGCGCCTACAACCAAACCATCCCGATCGTCGCAAATGGTCATTTCTACAACCACTCTCACTACCGTTACCATGGCAGCAACGCCTGTTTCCTCTTTCTCTCCCGATAAACACCGGTCACAATACCTCTCCCGCGACGAATACATAGAGTTACGAAATTCCCAGGACAAGCATTGGAATGCTGAACTCGCTTCCATCCGATGCTCCGTCGACGACGTGAAGCAGGAGTTGAACGACGTCAAGCGGGAGTTGAACGACGTCAAGCGGGAGTTGAAAGCCGACATCAAGGAGGTCAGAGACGACGTCACAACCCTCAGAGGCGACTTTACGGTTCAGATGCAATACCTTGAAGCCGAGATCCGCCGGTCTCAAGCGTTCACGCGGAACAATGCCTTGAAGAATCCAACCCTCCCTATCCGACCTGTTGTTGTGTATCGCCCTGGACGCGGCATTCTTGAGCCTGATCCCTCACGTTTTCCTCGGAACGCGAACGATTTTTACTCTTTGAGGGATCCACAAACTAACCGGCACCGGTCCATGCTCGCCTACCTTGCCGACTTCTACGACGTCCAACTCAGAGGTGTCAGTCATTTTCCTAAAGAGGAAAGCAACAGTGACGATAGTGACGACGACGAAATCGTTCTCGAACACCCTGAACTCGTCGTAGAGAAGTTGGAAGACATACTCGGCCTGAATGAAGATAAAATAATCAAGTTCAAGGAGAGAGCTCTGCAAACGGCATCACGAGCGCCATCGAAACCCATCAAACGCTCCCAAATATCCTGGCCTGAAGCTGGACCTATTCCTGGCCCACGCCGACAAAAACTCGAACTGCGTGTCACTTCTGGGCAAGAAGCATACTTTTACGATCCCGAACGCCCGAAGAGTGTTTCCTCTGAAGGCTT